AAAACTCCTCTACAGTCTCAGCTGTTTTAGTCAGGCTTCAGAAACCGAGAGTGGAGCTAATGTGCAAAAACACAGCTGCACGCGCACTGCACACACACATATACACACACACTCACTCACACACACACACATTTTTGTCCTCCTCAATGAAAAGTTAGGAGCTCCAATCAGTGAGCTGCAGAGGAAGGTCCACTTTTTGCCCACCGGTTTTCAGACAGGCTCCTCCCTCCACCGTTATAGTCGCTCACAATCACTGCTAGTCTTATATCAGTGTATTAATTTATACATTAACGGCGACTGAGGTCTGCATTGATCATCACAAAGCACATACAAAAACCTCAGTACACAAAGTTTACACAAAGACTGCCATACACAGCAATACAAGCGGCGCTGCTGTCCCTGCCTGCGCTTTACTCCCCTTTCTGCTGATTAGCTGGCACTGACACTTACGTTCATTCTTACATAATTTATTCAAATTATCGAGCAACAATCACACTTTTCTTAAATGAATAATAACAATAACATGTTATTAAACTACACAATAGACTTTTGTTGAAGTCTACCCAGTTTGCAATTATATGAAGGCCTATATGTCATTATTTTAATATAATTTCATTTCAAATGTGATTGATTGACGGACTGCGAGAATGAACTACCAGCCAATCCTATCGCAGGAGGGCGTGGCTTGCCGGAATAGAGGTGGAACAAACCTGCATCCTACTCAGTTCACTCTTCTGCTCTGCTGAGAGGAACAGTAAAGTAATAGACACTGTCCTCTTTAAAGCTGACTAGTACACAGTACACAGTAACTGAAAGTGTGGGCGCTGTATCAGCATTTTGCTCAAGTAAAGTGGAACTAAAAAATATACTTGAAAAGTATCATTTAAAAAATATTGAAGTATACAAAAATAAAAAACAAACAAACAAATAAATAAAGAACAACAACAATAATAATAATAATAACAAAAAATAATGTAACTAAAATATACTTGAAAAGTAAAGATATAATTTAAACATATTTAAGTATAAAAATATAATAAATAAATAAGTAACTTAGAACATTTCTTTGTGGGCGGCACAGTCAGGCTGACTGGACACGCTAAATTGCCCCTAGGTGTGATTGTGTGTGTGTGTGTGAATGTATATGTCTGTCTGTCTGCCCTGCAGTAGCCTGGCAACCTGTCCAGGGTGTTTCCTGCCATCCGCCCAGTGACCACTGGGATACACTCCAGCTCCCTCCACGTCCAAGAAAGATAAGCGGGTTAGAATATGTGTGTGTGCGTGTATTTCTTTGTATGGAGGTGTGTGATGTGACTATTGGGTGGTACCAGTTCTGGAACAAAGAATAATTGATCTATGTTTCAGGACCACCCACTGGTCAGATCACATACCACAGACAGTGTCCTTTTATACTGATATGAATTTGATTAGTTATTTTAATGAAAATGATATTCGCAGCAATTTGGCCTTTGAGATTTGTACTTTTAATAAGATCTGTCTCAATGAAAAGGAGGAAAAAGGTATTATTTTCTCTTGAAAGTGTAACTAGGTAAAAGAACAAGTACTTAACTCTAACAACACTCAAGTAAAGCACGTCTTCCAAAAAAATTACTCAAGTACCCGTATCTGTCTGAGCTCATTTGAGCTGAAAGAACATAAAAGTAAGTGAACGCTGAGCTGCTGTAATATGTTAAACAGCAGGCCTCTTAAAATGATGACAGACAGGACTATATGTAACTGCAAAGTATACTAATTAAGAATCAACAAAAGTCAGTTTTTTCTTTCTATCTTGTTATGCATGCAGGTTTATTTCATTACTCAGTCTGTTTCCGGTTAACTCGCTTATTGGATTTATTACATTTATGCCTGTTAGTCAATATGTGCAATCAACTGAAGCAAAGAATGAAAAGAAGTGTTGATCTGGTAGATAGTCAGAAAAGTGACTGGAGCTCCACCTATCGGCACAACACAGTAAAACAAGACGTTAATTAGTACTGTACTAGTACTGTTTCAACAAATACAGTGTGTATGAATGAAAGTGTAGAAATATGGTGCTTAATCATCAGTACAAACCTATTTCACTCTTCATGCTGAGCGCCTTCTCACTGCAGGACACTTCAGGAGGATTTGATTTGCACTTCTCTTGCCGATTCATTCAGCCCCAAAATGGTTTCATGTTTATAAACTTTAAGTTTATGGATTCTTTGGACCTTTTTGGGAAAACCTCTTTTGCGGTGACCAAATAAAGCACATTTGACAGTGCTGTGTTCCTACTAAGAGTTACAATAGGACCAGTTTATTACCAAATAAGGTTTAGATGAGCCCACAGTCCTCTCTTATTAAAGATTTTCAGGACAAGGATGTTTTACATTAAGAGCAGTATTGCCTTTGAGTTGCTCAGCTCAGCAGAAGAAAAAATGAGTTATGATGTGGGAGATTGTGGGTTTGAGCTCATCCTGCTGAAATCAGTTCTGATCAGAAAAGATAGCAGCAGAAGGCAGAGGTTACTCTGAACTTTTTTTTGTCTAGCTACATGTCTAGAATGCAGCCCATAATAATCTTTAGAATAATACCTGACCAGTGCATACAGTTTGGCCTACAAGCAAACATGAAGATGACTCACACTGCTCATTTAGTATGGGAGGTAGCAACTTTTATTCATTATCATTGCCATAGAATGGAACAGCCTAAGGCAGGAGAAGCTAATCATGGGCTGGGTTATGTGTGTAGAGTAGGGAAAGCACAAAAATGTGCAGAGCCTGGGGTCGCCAGGAGTGAAATTGTGAAGCCCTGGCCTAAGGTCACATTGCCCACTGTAAAGCATTAGCTAGAGGGGCATGAAACCTACAAACATCCCCTTGTCCCCTAGCCGACACAGGTATGCAACACTCTCTATAGAAAAGCATTGCCAGTAGAATGGGACACTCTAGAGCAGTCATGAACCTAAGGGCACCATGTCTATGGGCAAGTGTCAGCTAGAGGGGTATTAAGCCTCCCAGCATTGTGGGCCAGTGGGACTGTGTTCTCTGAAGTGATGGAGCTCCATCACATACATCTGAGATGAGTTGGAGTGGTGTTTGTGATCCAGAATTAATCATCCAACACCAGTGCCTGACCTCACTAATGCTCTTGTGGCTGAATGCAATCAAATCCTCACAGCAATATTCCAACATCTAGTGTAAAGACTTCCTAGAAGAGTTGAGTGTTACTGCAGCAAAGGGGAACAAAATCCCAATTAATAGCCTTGATTTTAGAGGAAACAGATGACAGATGTCTACAAACTGTGAGACGTCAAACTCAGCTATCTTTAGTGTTCATATGTAGTTAATAAGCCAGATCAAGTGGGATAAATTTAAAGATGGGCTTGAACAACTTAGTAGATCAGTGATGTTCAGTTGGTTAATTGAGACATACCTTTATTTTGGCTCAGATTTATTCCAATTTAGCTTGCAGCCCTATAGTTTGCCACATACAAAGAAAAGTGGAGAGGGGGTTGGATCTCTGTGTGCCGGGTGACGGGCACAGCTTTTATTAATGGCCGCCACATCGCAGTAATGAACCTCGGTGCAGAGTGTCCAGTAATGAACCTCAGTGCAGAGTGATAGACTGAGTACAGTGGTTTGAGGGAACTGGCAGACGTGTTTGTAAATTACATCACCGTAGTCCATGACAGATAGCAAGGTTGCCTCAACAATTCTTTTTCTAGCATACACGGGGAAACTGGATTTATTTCTATATAGAAAACCAAGCTTCTGTCCACATTTGCCAACCAATTTATTAATATGGGATTTAAAAGTGAGTTTATTGTCCAGCCATATAGCAAGGTATTTATACTCTGTGACTCTTTCGATGTTGGATCCCATCAGGGTAGTGATATTTACAGAATTAAAATCAGTATTAGTAGATCTGGAAAACAGCATGAACTTCATGTGTGTTTATACAAAGCAACCTGTAGAGCATTAAATGAGCATTGTAGTTTTGTTATTGCAGCATAAACAGACTCAGCTGAACAGTATAAAACCGTGTCATCTGCATACAGGTGTACTTTGCAGTCTGAGGCAGAGGCAGCAAGTTCATTAATATATATTGAATTAAACTGGGCCCAAAATTGAACCTTGTGGTACTCCTTTGGATATAGCCAAAAAATCTGAGTTGTAGTTACTCAGTGCTATGCATTGTTGTCTGTCTGAAAGGTAATTTTGGGTCCATTTTAGTGCATTTTTATCAAAGCCAATCTTTCGTAAGTTCCTTAAAAGAAGAGTGTGATCAATTGTATCAAGAGCTTTTGATAAATCAATAAAAATGGCAGCACAATGCTTCTTCCTGTCTATGGCCATACAGAGATCATTTAAAACCAGTGTGGTAGCAGAGATGATGCTGTGTCTTTCTCTAAAGCCAGACTGATAATTAAACAGGACAGAATTTTCGTGTAGAAATGATTTGACTATTTACAAGAAGTTCTAAAACGTTTAGCCGTACAGGACAATTTTGAGATTGGTCTGTAGTTATTTACATCTGCCGCCTCACCTCCTTTATACAGTGGAGTTACATGAGCTATAATTCTGCTTGATATAACAGAGAGATTAAAAATATATGTTATGTATTCTAAAATAATCGGGGCTGCTAGATGCAGGAAGTAAGGGTCCAGCCCTCACGGCCGCTTTTAGTAAAGGTCGCCACATCACAGCCACTTTTATTAAAGGTAATCTGAACTAATCATACCCATTCTTTGTAATGATTTGATTGGACAAAGCAGTTTAAACTTAATAAGAAATACTAACATATGAAAATGCTTGGATTCTGGGACGTTTCGTGTCAAGGACTGTAGTTTTCATGTTTCCTGATTAATTCAGGAAAAAATCCTTGACACATGGCAACCTTAACACAGAATGATCTTAGGTATCCATTAAGTACACAAACAAGCAAATAATCTCTGTTCTTCACACCATCTTAGTATCTTTTTTCTAATTGTTGCAATTTACAAAAAAAGGAGGAGAGCATTACACGTTTCAGTGTGTCTGTAGTTTTTATTATAACTCACAGTGTGAGGGGATCCGTGAGGAATGTTGACCTGACACACACTGAGGTCCAGCACGGCAGGAGGAAAAAAAACAAAACAAATAATCAAACAAACAAAAAAAAACTGTAAAAATAACCAGTGGACAAAAAAGGTTTTTTTTTCACAACTATACTTGTTTAGTAGTCCATCATAAGAAAAACATAAAAAAGTAAAATGTGAATATTAAAACTGCAGTGTATACCTGGTTGGCTGTTTTTCAGAATTCCCTTAAAATAAAAGCCACAAAGTCTCTTCATCACTGAACATGACTCAAGTACTGGATAGACTAAAACAGTGTTGTCCACTGCACTAAAAGCTGGTTACTTGGATTTAGATAATGACTTAACTGCAAAGTTATTTGAGAATCTCTACTGAATGTCTTCTATATGCGGTCTAGGGCTTGGTTTGCTGAACACAACAGATAAACTTTCTAACGGATGTGATGAGAAATGTGGATTTTATAAATGCTATCTTGGTTTGTCACACAATCTGAAAATCATGTATGTTCTATTTTGGGTTTACCTATCCCTTTTAATGCAACTTCTGGAAAACCGGGCCTAGAATTAGTTCTAACACAGGTGAAACTAGGCCAAACTCTTCTGTCCATAGCGAATTTTCACTCTTGGAACTTTCTATAAGTGAGCACATATATACAAGCACTACATGTTTACACTATGTACCTGCAACAAGATGGTGGCATAGAACACATTATAATTGCAAGTGTGAGAAAATGAATCAAATTCAACTCAGAAAGAACATCTTGATTCCAAGAATCTTGATTCCAACCATCATTAGTCCTACACATTATATGGGATTGCTGCAGATGTTGCACCACAAGGACTGGTGTTTATTGAGTACGCCATGTGATATTTGCTCGCATTGATGATAGTTGTGTTGTATTCTATGGCCAGATGGTTTTATGCATTATGCATTATAGAAAAAGACTGGACGACAAAAAAATCTAATTTGTTTTGTTAAAAAAATGTATTTGAAATGTGCAGCTGCCCCCAAAAGTATTTGCCACAATTCCTTTTATTATTTAGGATATAAAATGTCAAACCCAGTGATATTAATTTTGAACAGACCATTCCAAGACTGTAATTTTCTTTTTCACAAAGTATTCTTTCAAAAGGCGGCTGTTGTGTTCCAGATTGTTATTGTTTGCGCAGACATCTGCAGATTTACAAAATGCAAGCATTGTACTCTTCTGAGCTCATGATCCCGTTAGTGAGCACAAGCTCACTAACACCACTGTAAGAAAAACAGACGCAGACTTTTCCATGTCTGTCTTATACAGAACTCTTATTGCAGTCTGGTTGGATTTCTTCTCCAGATTTTCTCCACATAAAGAGTCCACCATCAGTCTGATGTTGTGCTGAAACTGTTTTTCTCTGATGTAAATTTCTCGTTTTGTTAAACATTAAATGAATAAATTAAAGAACTTCATTAAAGTTAACCAATGGTTAAATGGTTAAAGTGTCTAAATATTTTTTGGGCACACTGTATCCTTCCCCTTCCTTGGATGATTCCAGGTTGGTGGTGCAACATATCCAGATGATACAGTTGCCTGGGTAACACGGCTAGAGTAAATCTGACACTGTATACAATAATGTAACTCTTAATAAATGACCTTATCAGTTATGCTCACTCCAATGCCATCATGATTTGCTTCCACTGTCATTTAGTTGGTGCAACTCTGAGGAGCATACTGTTTATGAATTTCCATACAGTTGCAGCCTTAAATTACAAAGAGGTTCTGAGTAAATAGTCACTGTTGGTACTGTATACTAGTCAAATCCTTACCAGGCTCTAAAGAAGTAAAACCCAGTAACGATTTATGTGAAATTCACTCTTGTACAATGGGGTCCAAAAGTCTAAGAATACAATTTTTGCCAGGCTTACCCCAGCACGCCCCTGTTTCGGTTCAAAGACATTTTGGTCCTTGGGGGTGAGGACTTTTGTAAGGGGGTAATGTAGCATGTTCCAGTGAGTGGTCCAATGAACAGAAAGCCCTGCAGTTGATGCTTTGTTTGACCATTGATGCATTAACTTGCCTATTATTGCTAGACCCTTGTGAGAGATCAGATTAGAGGACACTGGTTGGGGCGCTCTGTTTCAGACAGTGTTGCCAGCCCGAGATCCTTCGATCTAAACTGTCTAACTGTCGAAGGCAGGCAGGGAAGCCATTAGGAGCCCTGTCACCAAAGCGATGTGGGCAGAGGAAATGACAGAAATGATCCAAGAGATGGTCATACAGTGAGTGGCACAGGGACTGCTGCTGCTGGCCTTGCGGCCGGCTGGGATATCTGGCTAGAACTTGGCCGAGGGCCATACCTGCAGCCATACAGCCAGTTGCATGGGGCCACCAGTGCTGGGAGGGATATGTGTGTAGAACAGGAAGAAAAAATCAGACCCTTTTGTACAAATGCCTCAAAGGTCAATTTCACACATTTGCTTCAATTTGAATTTTGACCTAAGAATATAACAGAATTTTTTTGTTTATTTTATTTTTTTTGTTATAAATTTACTTTGTTTGAAATGTAAGACTCTAAAACTTTCTGTTGTTTATTTCCAGGTTTAAATGAAAAAAAAAAAAAAAGATTTTCAATGTGGTCTCAAACTTTTGGACACCACTGTATTTACTCAGGCAAAAAAACCCTGCAATACAAGGCATTTCTTCAGGTTGTACTCCAGCGGTGTGACATAATAACATAACGCCCACAGACAGAGAATTGCATAAAGGACACTGCAGATGAAATGGCAGGATTGTAGGGTGCTGAGGTAAAAGGCTAAGATTTGCTGTTGGAGGGCTCAGAACAGGCCACTGGGTCAGGGGTCATGATCATCACGCCCGTAGCTAATTGGCTGGAGTTGCTGGACGACATAATCCGCTATCTCTTGGGACCCAGCAGCCACCACACGGCGGGACATGAGATCCAAAGGACCCCCTGGGACAGAAGCACATTAGAGCTTAGCATTTACACACACATACATACACAGCTTAATCCTGTAAAACAGACCCCTGTAATAGATGCTGCAGTCTTGCCTGTGGTGACAACACAATACAGCCTGTCTTCAACATAAAAAACAGAAAATGTTTACTTTATATCTACATCAGGGCGGAAGGGCTTTTGTGGCATACAGAGTGCTTTTAAAAAGAATAGGATCATTTAACACATGCAACAACAAACTTCCTCACATACCCCAAACCTCAGAGACATGTGCTGCTTTAATTTGCTATATTGAAAACCTTCAACTTTTATTAGAAGCGTAAATCTCTGAACTGTCAATGATTTTATCCAATTACACTTATTTAGAAAATGTTTTAATGCATCATGAAATCTTAAATTTCATCACGATTTGATTAGATTATTTCAGCAGAATTCAGAAGTAGGGGAGAGTGGGGTATAAACTAGCGTGGGGTAAAATATAACATGGACTTTTTATGTAGCATAAAAGTAAAGTTTTTCATTATTATCTTTGTTTCATTACTGAGTTGTGATTATAAGGCACAGACTTCACATCTATATTATTTTAAACACCCTTGTTGTGCCTAAAGCACAGCAATGGTTTGAAGCATGTAAACAACTCACAGTGAGAGTTAGTCAGACTAAAGTACAGCCTCTACATGGTGGGGTTATTTTTTTCAACACAGTGTTACAAATAAGCCTCCCAACGAACACAGCGAGAGAAGTCTATATCCCCCCATAAAAATTCAATTAGATTTTTTTATTTAAAGTGCAAAAATGCATTACAGGTATCATGTAAATAAAATGTATTTAAATTTTATTGTTTTAATATTAGCTCTTTCACTTTGTGGCAAAAATGAATGCTACACAGCCTCTTTACACTATTCATATTTATTCTGATGCACATCAAAATGTTACTTTTTAGTGGATATTACAAGCCCCTTAGTCCATTACAGTTTACCCCGCTTATGGACTTTGGACTATTGTTGTAACATTCTCACTCGTGTCACTTTCCGCTGAATTGATCTTAAATGGTAGATACTAGAAACAAAGTTGGAATTTTCAATTGTAGCAAAAATGTGAAAGTTAAAAAATGAAAAATCAAAAATGAAAAGGTCGCTTTACATTTTTTAAAATTATTTAACAAAAAACAAAATGTGTTAGGTGGTTCCACTCTTCCCTATTAAAAAATAAAAACACTGTCTATTTGCTGATTGTAACATACTAACTTCAGCATTTTAGCATCAAATGTGGCCTGTGCAAAAGTTATAGCACATTTTATACTGTAGGTTTTCATTTTCCCCACATTTAAACTCAGCAAATTAAACAAAAAATCAGGGAATAAATTAACAGAAAAATGCCATATTTAAGTGCACTCTTTGTAGAGGATGTGCTAACTTATTTTCACATAGAAAATAAAAAAAACATGCAATTTGACCAGGAGTGTTGAAACTTCACAGCCCTCTCACAGCTGCTGGCCCTCACTAATGGAACACTCATGTCTTTCACGGTACTGGCTGAATACAAAGTGCTATGGCTGCTTTTTTAAGCAGTGCCACGCTCACAGGCTAACAGGGTGAGCCTGAGGGCAGCTAGCATCTCTCTAGATCAAAGGAGTGACACAGTGAGAGACAAAACATTTAGTCCAACTCAAGCACACAGACAGGGGCGAACATGCTACAAAAAGTTGCTCAATGAGTTATGCTTCTTTCTTTATCTCACTTTCTCTCTCCTAATTTTCTCTCTCTGTGTCTGACAGAGAAAAAAAAAACAATTTGCTAACCACATGATCATGACCTCACTGCCCTTTCCAACAGTGCCTCTTTGTGCACTCTCACACAGACTGGCCTGCCGCGACTTATGCCTGCTGCCCACCTTCCACTAAATACACACAATTTCACAAACAGCTCAAGTATGCAACAAGGCACTGCAAGAAGGGAATATAAGAGAAGACTTGTATGCTGTCCAAACACATGAGAGCATAATGGCTTTTATAATACAAATGGACCTGTCACAATTATGACCTCAACACCTAATCACAATTATTTGAGCCTATCACGGTCATTTAAGCTAACTGAAATTATTTTCCATAGTTATTAGCCTTCACAATCATATGTTTAGGCTGAAACAAACAGAATGTGAAGTAGTGCGGCTGGATTGTGGCATGTGCTTGAGAATAAAAGAAAGCAGAAAACACATTTGTTGAGATGTCATGGGTTTTAGAAAAGTTCTAACTTCTGATTTGACACTATAACACCTTTAGAGGGCAGCAGTGAGTAATGTTTGTTTAATTGAGCTCGAGCTGTGTCTGTCGCAAGTTGGGAGCTACTAAGTCCCAAGTGTCAAACACAAGGCCCAGGGGCTTGACTTCCTATCCTATACGGCTGCAAAATTATTTTCATTTTCTATAAATATTAGCCCATTTCACCATGAACTGCACTACAGTTCCCAGCATGCACTGCACATAATGTGTGCTCCCATTCCCTCCCCAGCAACAATCTATGTGACTGCACCACTAAAGTTAAACAAAAAAAAAAAGATGCCAGGTGTCTAGTTCAAACGAATGGACAGTTTTAAAAAACCTGCTGTACACTGGGGACATTTCAATAGTTTAACAGCTAATGTGGTCTATTATTTTATATAAAACAATTTGTTTTTCAATTATTTTTAAATTGTTCACGTATTCAGTGCCTATTTTTTGCTGTTGTAGTTTTGGCATATTTTGAACAAACAATGGCCAGTTGGGGTCATGGCAAAATGTTAAGTAAAAATAAAATGAAAAAACACAGCTGGCCCATGGATTTGTTGAGTTTTTATAATATGTCCCTTTTAGTGGTTGAGTTTGACACCCCTGTACTAAGTATCGATAGCTGAGAAGCAACATAGCTAATCATCCAATTTGGCCACGTTAGGCGTGTACCCTAATACTTGCACACACACAAAAAAAATAGCCCATTAAAAATTCATGACTGTGACAGGCCTAATTACAGGTCCACAAAACACATGCAGGCCAAATTCCCAAAACTGCCAGTGGTATGATCTGACTTGTCCACAGCCAGTGCTATTCTTGGCGATCTGATCACATACTTAGCTTCAAAGTTTCATGTGGGATGGAGTGAATGTTTTTAATCTAGAGAAAAGCCTTAGGATATTCATATGCATTCATACGCAAACAAATAACATGTGCTGATTTGTGCTTGATAAATAGACGGTTACCATAACAGGCAGTCATAACTTAGTGGTGCTATTTTAAGACCAGCACTACACACATAACTCTTCAATGGGTGCTTTGAGGACACTCGCAAAAACCTTAGAAACTATCTTGACCATCTAACATTTGTACATCTGTTGGACAGCACTGTTGTTCCACAGAGAGAAATTTCAAATCACATCCACTTATAGTTGCTCAACACCCAGTGAAATATTTGGAAAAGGATTATTACAGGTTCTGTCTGAATAATAGCAATATGTCTAACAGAAAGCCAATCTCTCCATTATGTCTTAGATTTTCAGTGAATCACGCACCATCAGTGTAACAGTGCTGACCAAATAGGGTATTATTGTACGTGTGTGCAAGGTTCAAACAAAATCCACCACCCTTACATGGAAATCCCATAACAGACATCTATAAATACCTTCACTGTATAATTTGATGTTTTGTAAAAAAAAACAAAAAAAAGCAATCCTAATCATCATCAACCCTAAACTGAATAATCCACACTGACACTGCTGGCAAACATTTCTATGTAAATCTTTTTTCCTGGTTCGGACTGAGGTCATGATCACTTTTTTGGTTTGTAGTTAAATATAATGAGCAGAGTTTGGTGGGAAAGTCTACTTAATGTCTTTGTGTGAAGGAGAAGTGGGTGCAGAGCTAACCTGTGGTGTCGATCACACAGCCGCCTGCCTCCCTGATGATGACCGCAGCTGCAGCGATGTCCCAGCAGTGCAGGCCGTACTGGTAGTAGGCCTCAGCTGCTCCGCTGGCTATGTGACACAGTGCTAAAGTCGAGCTGCCAATGATTCTCACCCTGAGCAGACAGAAAGGTCATTGGTGTAAAACAGCAGGCTGGCTTTAAGTTTTACAGAATAGGTTGTTCTCCCAAGTATATGGCAACAGTCATAAAGTGGACCTAGCATCATTTTCGCCAGTTTAGCATACACAAGAGTGCATAATATACTGTTTCTTAACATTTATCACAGTATTGGCTCCGCAAATCTGGTTTATTCCAAATAAGTGTTTCTTGGGTGTTTTGATTAAAGAAAGCAAATCATTTTGTTCAAAAATAATGCAGACCAGTCTTCACATGGGTTCACCACTGTGCCTTTAATACACTGCAAAGCAAATCGCAAATGAAGTACTTTGAAATATAAACTTATGTCCACTTGTTTGTGTGTCTTTATGTAACAAAAACAATCATAATTTATTTCGAACAAGTTATTTTCCAACCTCTCTTTATCCTTCAGAATTAAATAGGTTCTTTTTGTTGATGTGCCATTAAGATTGATATATGTAAATGACCTCTGTTCTGACTGGCTGTCCCATACTGTGGCTCACTCAAAATGCAGTTCAGGCTAAAAGATTACTTATAACTTCACTATGAATGGACAGAGTTAAACTGATGTAGGCTGAGTAGGAAGACATACGGAAATGTGCTGATTTTCCAACATTCAAAACAGGCTGTTTTTGCAGTTTAGCCTATATGTATGGTCTGCTTGCACTGATTGGTGCATTTGGAAACTTTAAGAGAGTTCCTGTTTACATCAAACTCTTGTTTCAAAAACATTAGGGAATTTAGGTTTTCCATAATATGGGCCCTTCAATTATCTTGTTAACACCCCTTTTGTGACTTTGGGAAAACAAGCCCTCAAGTGAGGATCCATTAGTAAATGAGGGTCCACTGACTTTCGACCTTTTTGATAGGGTTCCATAAACCCTTCACTGAAACAGGTGAACTCGTGTCTCACCCATGGACAGGGGCACTCAGCAGTTTCTTCATATTCCCCAAAAAGATATCCAGTGTGTTAGGATCTCTCTTTGCCCCAATCTCTGTCAGAATGAGGGCCTTTGACACATCTGACAAAAGAAGGAAGCATGTCACTGACAAAGCTTAAATTACTCACTAATGTCTAAGTCAAAGTTCAGGCTGCACTAATTTGTCTAAACCAAGCCCGAAAAAAAAGATGACAGATAGCACCCACCCTTCTCCTTTGAAACCTGAAGTCGTACACCATTGCAAAATGCCCCATGGCCTCTCCTGGCAGTATATAAAGTCCCATCAAAACAGTGATATATAACCCCAAACTCAAGCTGTAAATCAGGGGAATGCAAATGATAAATTAACTTTGAATAATATAGATTACAGAAAATGTTATTACAGCACAATCATGGTAAAGACTGACTTAGTAAGTACATGCAACCAACAGATAATGACTGCAAAAATCAACAGGATCAACATTTAGACTACATTTGTGTTATTGGGGTTTTGGCATTGATCTACCTCTTTCTTTACTGCAAAGCCAATGCTTACAGCAACCATGGGGAAACTGCAAACGAAATATTTTAAATTATTTAAATATAATTTATTTTAAATGATTGTACTTAAAATAAATATTATTTTAAAAAACATTTCAAATTCCAAATGCATTACAAGCCATTCTCTACCTGTGAACAAAGTTACAAGTGCCGTCAATAGGGTCTATTATCCAAGTAGGGTTATCTGTCAGAACACACTTCTCTCCAGCAGCAGAGGACTCTTCTCCAATAAACCTAAAACAAAAGTAATAAAACAATCTGTAAAACATCTGTGTACCTCTATTCATTACTCGCAGCAAATTATACTGTATAGTTTCATAACCATTACAGTACAGCATTTATATATACTATTCCTTCAAGTTCACAATACTTCGAATTTACAGCACCCTTACTCCTACAGCCCAAAGAAAGGATGTTTCTCAGAGCTACAGCACACGCCATCAGACACAATGACTGATGGTGCATTAAATACTTACCAAATAAGCCTTTCATGAAATAATTAGAGGTCAAAAACAGTGACAATGACTTTTAGTTTGTCTGCCAGGAAAAATGTGAAAACATACCTACTGTAACTTCAACAGTTCAGCAAAGAACATACTACTGAATACCATTTAGTGACTGCTGTGAGAGCATAATCTCGAAACATCATTAGTCAACATGTTCCACCAGAGCTCATCTACTTGTTTCTGAAGGACTATTTAACAGTGTAAAACTGTTTGTTTGCCGTTGCCAAAGCAAAGTACAGCCAGGTGATAATAGTAGTAAATTCTCTTTTGCAGATTATTTTGTTTTACACTGCATCACATGTAGGTTTCTAAACATCATCTAAGATGTTGTTCCAAAACAAAAAAGTACAGACAAAACATATTTCTGCATGAATAAGTTGCATCTGGTAGCCAACCAGTCTTCGATCAATCAGGTACCTATGTGAGGGGAACCTCTCCCTGAGGGTGGATATGATGAGGTCCTCCACCTGCTGGTCAGCCTCCGTCACCAGGTCTGTGGGTGTGCTCTTACTGCTCACGCTCTTCTCCTGTTTCACAGCCTCCTGGACCATCTGAGGGAGGGAGAGAGAGAGAGAGCGAGAGAGAGAGAGGGAGAGAGTGAGAGAGAGACATCATTGAGGATAGGCCCTTACCCAAACCTTACAAAACTAATTACGCCAGGGATGAGTGACACGAGACTTGCAGTATATTTTCTCAACTCTAAATAATTTAACTAGTCAGCACATTATCAACCCTAGAAGACTCAAATGTCATTAAAATAGGAAACAAAAAACATGTCCAAATGTTTGTTGCCAAGATGTTGGTACACACTACAGTGAGGATTTGTCTGCATACACCAGTTCAGGTACTGATGTTGGATGATTAGTTGTAGATCACAAACACCACTCCAACTCATCCCAAAGGTATTGGATGGCGCTCCATCACTGGTCCACAATGCTGGGGGGCTTTATGCCCATCTAGCTGACACCTGCCGATACGCATCTTGACCTTAGGCTCATGTGCAACTGCTCCAGATTGTCTCATTCTATTGACAATACTTTTCTATGGAGATTATTGAATACTTCTGTCAGCTAGACGACAACTGACTGGGGATTTTATACCCCTGTAGCCAATGCTTAGCAGTGGGCATGGTGACCTTGGGCCAGGGCTTCTCATTTCCATTCCTGGTGACCCAGGACAAGCACAACGCATGGTATTGGGTATGGTGACTTTAGGCGCATGTATGGCTAATTCAGCACATCCCATTCTATTGTCATTGCTTTTCTATGGGGATTATACAAGCTGTGAAGCTTCTTTTTCACTATTTAGATACTTTTGGACACAAACCGTCAATGGTGCAACACTGTACAACCCAGAATTAGAGCTCCACATCCCTGATGTAGCACACGTAGAAAAAAATACCTAGACGATACCCAGCACTGTCTGACAGTGTGATAGGAAACTAATAAAGCATAGTTAAACAAAAGTGTGCTGTAATAACATTATCATAACACAGGCCGGTGTACAATGTGATCAAAAAGAAGAGTGAACAGGAAAAGCACCCAGTACACAGTCAGCCCTGCCTGAGTCAGCTAGGCCGGTGGCTTTACTGTGTGTAGTCTGTTAGGATTTATCAGTAGAAACAGAAGGGTTATTTATATCAGCAGAGCAGACACAAGGAAAAGGTCAATAGTGTAGGCTTATCTAATGTAAGTTAGCAAACCACTGTTTCAGTTCATGAGATGTTGCTAGCATATTACAGAAGAAATGTGTTGTAATAACAAAGTAATTGATGATATATTGTTACTGGGCGATGTAAGTTATAGCTGTAGTAAAAGCACGAGAGTTTACTTTAGCCTTAGCTAAGGTGGACTGAAACCTGACAGCACGTCCGACAACGACACTGCCACACTACCGTTACCTACACACACCGAGCTAGCTTGTTTACATTGCCCTTCCGTTATCTGATAGCCTAGATGATAGCCTCGCATCCACTACAATCTAAAAAAGGCCAAAAGTGCAGCCTAAACCGCGACACACGACCCAGTTTCTACGATAACCAGCTCCCCGGTCAAAGTAGCTGCCCCCAGGCTCCGATTTTGGCGCTACCTGCCCCGCTGTACGAGCGATCCGCACGGCGACGTCCAGGCACTCGGCCCAGCCCTCGCCCTCCTCCATGCTCTCCGAGTCTCTGTGCTGAGGAGGAGAGGAGAGTAGAGTAGAGGAGGAGAAAAGAGGAGGATTCAGCGCAGCCCGCGGGTGCTGGTCATGGTTAGCCGCCTTTGCTGTTTGGCTTCCCGGGTACGCAGTGAGAGTTCACCGGCGGAAAGCTCTAACATGGATGTAGCGCACACTGCTGCTGCTGCTGCTGCTACTGTCCGGACAGCCAATCCAGTCCTTCGCTCAGTTCACCTCTGAGCGGCGCAGCCTGCGGAAACCACCCAGCTGAACTCAGCTTCTTGTTCGAATTGTCCCGTTCCACCTTAAACGGCTCATTAGTTACATTCTGGCGCAATGTAACGGCTGTACCATTTAAGGTGGAACGGGACAATTCGAACAAGAAGCTGGCGAATAGGAAACCAGCTTCAGCCTCGTGCACGAACCAGGATGGAAATGACCTCCAGATTAGTAATTAGTAGTTTTTACAGTTTATTTAGATCACAGAGCGGTCAGTGGTCCATAGTGGGCCCGTAACAGTCATGAAAATTAGTGAAAAATTAACTGACACAACCCCCCACCCCCCCGATCTACTTACTAAGTCAATATTTTATGTTTGTATTGCGGCACCGAAAATTAGCTGTGTTGAAAGAAAAGTTCCCCCCATTTTTTAAACAAAAAAAGTTGACTTTTGTTTGTTTTTGTGGGCCTTCATTCTTTCTAGTGATACAATTCTTTTTATTTTTTCCAACTTTGTGACGTTTGTGGGGGTTTATGTTCCAAATACGTTCATAATTCATTTTTACATGAGCATTTCCTAACCTTAACTTCTTGCTTTTGCTTATAATGAATTATTGTTACTGTACCTTTAAGACTGATACGTATAAATGATCTCTGCTCTGATTGGCTGCCCTGCATTGTGCCTCATTTTAAAAAGAGCTAAACTGCTGTTGGCTGAATATGCAGATATATGCAAACGACTTTGTGTGACGTCAAAAGAAAAACGATCTGTTTTGCAGCTTAGTTTCAATATACAGATCAGAAGGACTGAGACAGAAATTGAATGGTGAATATTGAAACAATATTTACACAATACTTTAATCTCTTTCATTTAAAAAGGTGAGGAAATGTCAGTTTTCCCTGATTTGGGCCCTTCAGATGATCAGCATACATTTTGCCCCTGACTTTACATTGATTCACATGAATAACTGGAGGACTACTTGTTATATAAACACAAACTCTGGCTTTCTTTATACCATGACCACGAAAAAGTAAATGAAACACAGGTCAGGTAACTGCGCTGCGCTGCTAGATTGCAAACCCAAAGCCACGTTGGGGCAGTAATGATCCAACACTCCGATGCTTATTAAAGGTATGAGGAATGCTTTTACAAGGAGCTTTGGTTCTTAAAATGGTTCAATATATAGACTGTCATGCTATTAAGAGGTAGGGCTATATTAAGCAAACCAATCCTAATTTTTTTTTAAAAAAAGTTGGGGTCAGACTGGACAGTAAATAGCCACAATAATTATCTTGTTAATATATTTGCTGTGAAATTCAAGTAAATAGTTAAACATTTTAATGAATAGCTTCTATAGTGCCATCTCACGGGCATTTAGCAAAGTGCACCCTACAGTTCAGTTGTAATGAGTTTCACTGCAGTTAGATAAAATCTGTGCATAGGAAAAAATATGCTAAAACTAACGATAAAGACACAGAAAACATTTACCCTTTAACATTTAAGCTGTATGATGACAGAACAAACAGTAAATAAATATTAAGAGAAGCAGGGAATCCGCCTCTGTCCTTCTTGTCTGCAATACTTCTTACTTGAGATATATGTAAATTTACGGCTGACCTGACCACGTAGATCATACTATAGTCACCCATATAGTTGTGGGCTCATTCAGGCTCTTTTGTACTGATTTCCATCATCACGTTTCTGCTTTCCCAATGAAGATCCTCAGAAACCTTACAGTGGAGCTTTATTTACAATATCAGGACAGTCACTTTCAAATGTGTTGTCATTCAAAAGATGCTGACCAATCAATTTACAGTCATAACTAATGGGCATTAAAAAAAAGAAATGCATTCATATACACTGTGTAATATAGAAGGAAAAAAAAACATTGCAAGAAATTTTACCCAAAGAATCACCTGACAAGAACAAATCTGTAAAATGCTGAAAACACATAAATGGCTTTTTAAAAAGTATACACATAACTCTTAAAATTTATTTCATTTACATATAATTCCTTCAGCCCTACCCCACCCCCCCTCCACACACACACACACACACACACACACACAAGCAACATTCACTTTTACAAAGATGTAACCAAAAGAAAAAAGAAAAAGCCATAATGAAAAGAGGGTAGCATAAATGTCATAAGATTCAGTTCATGGCCCACATTGTCATATATTTGCAAGCATGGCACCAAAGGAAAGAAAAAAAATGTAAAAGAGAAAGAGGGAGAACAACCAAGTACCACAGCAAGGCTTAGTCTTCAGTAACATAACCGTATATAAGTGAAGCAGCACAATACATTAGACAGAAAAAATAAAATAACAAACAAAAAAATACAGTTTGGCTTACAAGGTCAAACAATGAGGTGGGTTAAAAGTAGAGAAGAAAAGATTTTCTTGTCTGAAGTGCGGCGTTAGTTGGAGCTTAGTGGCTGGATGGCCAACGAGTGGTTCAGTAGATGAATTCTCCTGGCACTTCCTGGAGAGCTGGGAAGGGCTCTTCGAATTTGAAGCGCTTGGAGATGGCCTTCTGGTCTGGGGTCAAGCTCTCCTTGTCTGAGGACTGCCTGCACTGACCCAAAGTGTAGGCGGCCATGACGATGAGCTCCTCCGTCACTCTTCCCTCCTCCTCCTCCTCCTTTCTCTGCTGGGAAGAGATCTCTGTGCTGATTGGCTCAGGGATGGAGGTGGAGGCACTCTTCTGCTTCACCAGCTCCTCCGCAGAGTTTTTCTCCTGCGTCTGCAGCCACTGGTGTTTCAGGCACTCCTCAGCAGTAGCACGGTCCCTGAGCAAAACAAGATGAATAGCTGACACTGGCACTGGTCATGATGACCTTTGGCTCATGTGAGGCTGGTCCAGAGCATCACACTCTATTGACAATTCTTTTCTATAGAGATTTTAATAAACTATAAGAGCTGGATATATAGTGTACCATAATTTAAGGTGTCTGGGCATATAGTGTACCATAGTTTAAGAGATCACTGACAACATCCATGATGTTAATTCAGTACAAATCAGCAGTGCTGCAGCTGATCAAATGATTCTGGAATGACCCTGGCAAAACCTGAGGCTCCCTCAGTAATAGTAATCTTGTTAAAATTAATTTAATAAAGAAAAAAAATTGTCATAGACAACACCACCAATTTTTGGCAGCCATGACTAGATGTATACTGCTAAAATGAAGCAAGACCAGACGTAGTTCCTTTATCCTCAGAAAAGCTCTACTGTAAATATTTTAATGATTGTTTACAGTCATATGCACAAGTTTGAACACCCTTGGTTCAAATTACATGTGCTTTTGATTTTCTAAGTGAAGATAAATTAATGCATCCTCTACAGAGAAAAATATGGTATTTTACTAAATATGGAAAATATGCAAATTTGACTGTATAATTTCCATTGAGTATATTAGTAAAGTAATAAAACATCCAATATAAAATGTGCCGTAAGTTTGGTACAGGTGACATTTTATATTTTATTATTTTTTTCCAATATGGTTAAATTCAGCTAATAAACAGTAATTGTGCATTCAAATGTGCAGAGGTGTGTTCTCTGTAAAGGGTGTGTTAATGTATTTTCCCTTGCAAAATAAACAAGAAATATAATTTGACCAGGAGCACCCATAGGACTGTAGTTAGCTTGAGAAAGAAATCCCTCAAAAGAACCTCTCATAAGGCAAAGTGATGTTGGGCAGCATTGGTAAACTGGGTGAGCCTAATGCTCTTCTACGTCACATTAGCTGAGAGTTAGGCCATTTGTGCTTGGATCTGTTTAAGTGAAATCTTAGTTAGGAAAAGAAGAGAAAAACTGTTAAGATGTTTCAGTCTAGGCTGTGTATGGTAAACTGCACATATAATGTATCCCATATTAATCAGTCAGTTAAATCCTGTACATTAACAAACCTTTTCTGGCAAAACAAATCCAGTTTGAATAGTTCTTTAATCTATTTAGTTAGTCATGACATGCTAGATGTGTCTCATTCTACATACTGTGGCTCTTTGATGAGCAACAACTTTATGAAGTGGATGGCAGCCTTGTCCAGTCGCTCCAACTCCTCCTCTGCATAGCTGATGTTAATCTGGGAGATGTTCAGGAAGGTCTCCTGCTTATCATCCCCCAGGAACGGAGAGATACCCGTCAGCATCACATAGGCAAGGACACCAATACTCCTACCAGAGACAGAAAAATTGTATGATACTAGATTTCATGAGTTGCTCATGAGTACTGGCCACATTGCTGTGCTCTCAGTCAGTATGTTTTTATTGAAAAGGCTACCATACAAAATGACAGCATGTTGTAGTTTATACAGTGCATTAAGTATCATTAGTGGTATCGTTTAAGCGTCATTAGTGGTGACTACTTGAAAAGAGCTCTAGAGAGATGACTCACCACATATCAGTGGCTGTGCTTATGGGCTCGTAATTTAGAACTTCTGGGGCTAGAAAGAAAAAGAAAGGAGCTGATGGAAAATCACTGGCACGGTTGGTTTTTCCACCCACTCCAGCTAGTATTTATCTGTTTATGCCGCATTTCTCTCAATATTCAGTGCATTATGTCAAATAGTGAGACTTACCGACATATTCAGGTGTGCCCATGATCTCCCTGACTTCCTGGTTATTGCTCACCATCCTTGACAAGCCAAAGTCCACTATCTTAATGTCCCCAAGAGGATTATTGCAGGTCAGAAGAATATTCTGTGGCTGAAGAAAATTGGAAAACAAAAAGGACATTAAATGGGTCAAAGCTCCTCTTGCTGCTTTTAAGACTTTAATGGATCTACATGAAGAGATAAAACAAGAAATACTGTTTTTGCTACCAGTATTATTATATTAACTGCCACTTTATTACAAAGTGTGTTGATTATTGAAGTGAATGTTTGAGAGTGCATGGCACAATCCTATAAAGTTGATGTCTGTTTGGTTACTGTGCCTTTAAGATCGATAAACCTGGCTGTCCTGTATTGTGCCTAATACGCAGGGCTAAACTGACACTCGCTGAATAAGCAGATATATGTAAATCACTTTTATATGACAATTCAAAATATGCTGTTTTTTGCAGCATAGTTTCCATTTTTAGACTGTATGGACTGAGGAATGAATGTTAAGTTTTCAAAATGTACCAATGTTTACATACTACATCACACTTTAGTCCAAAAAAGCAAGAAAATCCGGTTTTCCATGATATGGGACTTTATTCAAGCAACCACTAGATGGCTTCCTAAAACAAGTGTGGCCCAGCTACCTTTTTAAACCCTGCTATGATCACAGCATTTTGTACAAAGCATCATGATACAAATGCAATGAATTTGTCACAACAAAAAGTAAGAGGGACTACAAATCACCTTGAGGTCCAGGTGAACCACATTATTCTTGTGAAGAAAGGCAACGCCCTCCAAGATCTGTCGCAGTAGCCGCTTCACATCCTCCTCTTTAAAGGCCTCATCTCGCTCTGCCACACACTGGTTAAAGATCTCCCCACCAGCAGCACTATACGTGCAGACACACACAGAAAAAAAACAAATAAAACATGTTTCCTTTCATTTCACATTAGAATGATATATGCAGGGATACGAGAAGCTGTAACATCCCCAGTTTTCAGGATTGTGTAAACTGCAACTGCTAAAAACATAAATGGAAAAATAACAAAGAAACTGAATTATTAAACATTTTGAGCATAGCAAAGACTACAGCTGGGAAATATGACAGTATATATTGTTATCGTGATGAATTATGTCACAATACAATATGCTCTTCTGAACATATTGTTGATATTGTCAGTATTTGTATAACACTGACCAGCTGCATGTTTCATCACAAATAGAGCAAAATCAGTCCCGTTTAACTGAATTTAGTGCAACAGAGTATGACAAATATTGAGTAAAAGTTTTTGATAGTAAATTCTAAAATGTAGCACTGTTGGTTCTTTTTTCTCTGTTCTACCTAATTAAATGCTTAAAAAAATTAAAAACAGATATTGTGTATTGTGAAAATTTCCTGATTGTAATATTGTATTTTTGCCATATCACCCACCTCTAGAAAAGACCAATATGTGATTTTTGTAGGGTGGAGTTTGTAGGGTGCATTTTTCCCTGTTTTATTTAAATAATGTTCAAAATCTTCAGCAGCTTGCACTTCCTTCGCCAACTGTTGGCCGCTTCAGGGAGGAGTTGAAGGCATTTTCAGATAAACATAATTATCTCGAACTGCCATCCATTTTTTTCAACCACTGTAATCTCAACTTGATATTCGCGTGTGGCTTGACTATAGGCGTGACACAAGCGGTTTCCATGCCTCATATCAACAAACTGATTGGTCGACACATAGTATTTAGCATGAAGTCACAGTGTAAATTTCAGTCTCCCTGCTTTAAACACTTGCCTGTGCTCCCAGTTATACGCCTAAATGCAAAGCATTCACTGTGCATTACTTTTGTACAAAAATATGAAATTTAGCTGTTGATGCATCCAAGCCCTACTGGTTCATGGTGATGGAGTGGGTAATGAACTTTTAAAGCTGTTTGCAGCTAGCTCTAGTTTTAGGTGGTGAAGTTATGTTTAACATTCTTAAGACACAGGGAGACAAGTTTATTGCCTCAGGACCACCTGGTAATTACCTCTCCTAAAAGTATGCAGGCTCTTCAGTGATAACCTTTTTACACTGACACATTTAGCATGAACTATTACCTTAAAAAATGAGAGAGAAAGCTTATATCCATCTGTTATCTGTCAGATACGCTGTTACCCTCTCACCCCGTGTCAACCTCAGCGTGAATCATCGTGTGTGTCCTCAGATGAGGGCAAGTGGGAGTAGACAGACACGCATGCACACACAGTGAGCCTAAAGAGAGATTACAGAGATGCCGTCATGTTGCCCACACTTAGGTGTACAGGCACACGCAGCATGTTAATGCTTTAGCGAAACACCATACTAGTCAGCAGTAGTCTAGGAACTGCTGTTTGCTGCAAACAAAGGCACACGTCCACAAAACAACCCAGACAGTCACATGTTTTCTGATGATTCTCCTTTTCCTGCCTCAAGAGCAGACAGCATGTCAAATTCAATTACAACATGGCCAGGAGAGAATGAGTGACCTCAAACACGCAGCTGAAGTCTAGCTGTGGGGTCTGCACACTGTTTTCTGTTGATGCACTGCAAACAATGGTGTGAAATCATCTAAAATCCACTTGAGATATGAACATAAACATTTAGAAAGTGTGTCATGTACCTAGATTAGCACTGAGCAGAAATATACCAATTATTTGTAGAGAGAGATACAAGCACAGTAAAATGAATAAAACAGACATTTTAGCACAGTAAACAAGTTGAAAACAATATACTCTTCAAGTGTACAGTAAATACATCATCAAATATCAGACTGAAATATTTGTCAAATCTAAATATCTGTCTGATGCTGATATGTATTTTTAAGCAGTTATCTGATGATTGTTGTACATCCCTGGTTGTGAAAATATTATAAGATTATTTAAGTACCTTAAATTGTCTCATTCTATTCTAATTTCTTGGAACAAGCAAAAAAGAATAAGACAATTTCTCTGGGTAAAATTACTTAAAACATTAAAACATTTACTTAAAAGTACTTAGAATAAGTAAAATAATTTTACAATATTCTTGCAACAGTCTCAAAATGAAAAATATTAGATACTGACAACATTTAAGATGTTTTCAGTTGCAAAGACACCACTTTTTGCAGTGTGTAACTGATGGTTAGATGGCAAAGAAAACACGCAATACACAGAAAAAACAGAGCACTAGAATACTAACTCAGAATCAATCCTCTATGAATAACATATGTATGAGTTTTGATGTATGTATGTATGTATGTTAATGTATTTTTTCTGCATAGTTGGATGAAGACAGACACTGAATAGTCAGGTGCATGCTTGAACCCCTAGGACTGAGTAAAATATTACGGGTGTGGCATTGTTTTTCAATTGTGTTTGTGTGTAAGATTATGTGTGCACATGGTACATAATAACCCTGGCTGCATGTTTTCTCCCCTGCACTGCCTGTAATCCTATTCGCAGGATTCTCTCCGTGACCCTAACCCCAGCCTTGGCTGTGAGAGAAAGAGGAGCACTGATGCTCTAGAGGTAACAGAGTAATTCTCCGTAATGGATTACAATGATGGAAAAACCAGTGTCATATTCTGTACCTCAGGATTCATCTTCACTTTCATTAACAAGAAACAGGCCGATTCCAGGTCAGGGAACTACACTGCGAATGCCTGGTTAGCCAGCTAACTGGCTCAATAAAGCTGTGAGCAGAAGATTAAGTTACTTTATTCAGTTTAATTCTGTGCCAAATTCTGCAGAGCTTTAATCTAGTTCACTCACTAAAGAATCTTACTGCAGGGACGAGGCACCTCTCTCCCTGAACTCTTATCAAATAAATACAGAATATGAAATCGTAAGTCATCAAACATCATTATTTTGACTGATACATTTTACAGTACATTTTAACTGATATTGAGAACTGGTAATAATTTATTTATTTATTTATTTAGCGCGGATGTGACATGATGAATTTGTCATAACATCCTTCAAATGAACTGACATGCTTAAATATATAACAAAAGCCTGCATCTAGTGCAATTTTCAATGGCAGGTGAATGTAATGTTAGGAGTCTCGCCCCATGACCGATTTCTTCATGAACAGAGGACTGAACCCTGCTCCGCCGTCTGCGAGGTGAGCATGTTATCCACTGCTCTGCCTCCACTAAAACCAACCTTTGTCTCACTAGAAAAAAACAGCACCATCTTGTGGACTGAGTCAGAAATGCATGGTAATCTATTCCTCCAACAATGGGCTTAATATATGTTAGAAATATAAATAAGTAAATATTTCTTAGGCTTCTGTGTATTGATACGATTTTTCAATCCAATATATTTTGATATTATACTGTACTGACCTTTTCTCCCACCCCTAATGTTCAGCAAGTACCGTCCTCAGCTGCTGATGGCTGACCACTAGCAGTGAGTCCTAAATATGGCTTTAAAACTAAGAATAGAAGTCATTAATGACAAACATGAAATACTGATTAAAGTAAATAAGGATGGAGTGTTGAACAATGGGGCGGTTCATGCAACAATATTCTGGCCACCCGTGTAGACTCAAAAGCCCACTAGTAAACTTAGTAATGAGCTTAATCTCAAGTAATTCAAAGCAGCTGTCTAATGGGATGAGCAAAATCAGCTTAAAATATGCTGTGTTCAAACACTAGTTAAACTGCTTTAACCTTTACATGAAAAATCTAAGAGGTACCGCAGTGTTTATCAAACGGCAAAACAGAACGGCAGACCCCAGTTCTAACCTTCCCTAACACAGACGGTCTGGACTGGCACGGAAAAGCCATTAGCATTGGGGCAGCTGTAGATTCTGATGGGTTTCAGAGCTGGCTTCCTCTCCTATCCCTCTAAAGATGTGGAAAAGGCAAAGACTCCACTATGAGGCTGCAGTAATTACAGTACAGAAATGCCAAGCCAAACCCTTTAGACTCTAAACATTAGACTGGAAGGACAGGAAACGGGAAAAAGGGTAAAATCTAAAATCTGGCCGATTCATAACTAGGTCACGTTTTTGGCTGGGTGAGGGCATGTCTGGGCACCCGCAACACTAAAGCAGTGTGGGGTCAGCACTCGCTAATCTGAGGGCACTTACTACACATGCACATGCACACGCACACACACACACACACACACACACACAGGCAAACACACAAGTACCCACCCTGTGAGGGGCCTTTCTTTCCTCATTTAAATATGAGGGAAAGAATATGTCTTACAGATTAAACAGAGCAGCAAGCTTTTACTAGCCAATCTATTTCTAGAACCTACCGCTCAATGACAAATGACTACAGCATATTGAGCCTGTCTGACTAATTAATTAGAAGTAGGCCAATATCAAAGGACTCCTAGGCGGAGGCCAGTGCTATGACAGCAAGTGGTTTTGCACTGAGTAACCCTGCTAGAATAGGCTGGGAAATGCTCTTCTCTCAGTCCACTGCTGAGTTGTTAACAGCACCATTCGTGACCCACATTGTTCTAAACTGCATATAGAACTGAATGTCTTAAAGGACGGCTCAGTAAAAAATCTTATTCATACAATTTTCCCCTTAACCCAAGGTTAACTGATCAAGGCATGTTTGGTGCCCGAAGTTTGCTTCTTTAGTTTTGCACTGGAGCTAAGGCTAATATAGCTAATGTTTGGGATTACTTGGATCACGAGAATCAGAAAATGCAACCAACTTCTGAAACTGAACTTGGAGGTGTGGAAAAATATCTCTGCAGATTTCTTTAAACAACTAAAGAAAGTCACCTGAAAATAAGTGAGGCTGTAATAATGATAGCATATTTAGCTGTAGAGGTTTCTGTGTGATGTTCTGTTAAATGTTTACAGCTTTTGTTCCTGATGCTACAAACTCAATAACTTGTAACTTAAAGTCCTTTGGGAAGGGCAGTTAATTAAAT